ACAAACTGCAGTCGACTTTATAGAGAAGTCTATATACGAGACTATAATAATATAATAAAGTTTATAAAAACGACGCTTTAGACTAGTTTATAGAGTAGAATTTAGACAAGTTTATATAAGGGCCTATTGCCGAGATTATAGACAATACTTTAGTCAAAATTTTAGACGAAAATATAGTCCTGTTTATAGACAAGGCTATAGCTGAGTTTATAGACGAAACCTTAGTCGAGTTTGAAGAGTTTATAGACTAGACGTTAGTCGTTATTATAGGCGAAACTATAGTTAAGCTTAGAGACTAGAATGATCTATAGTGTATGACTATGTTCTTATCAGTTATCTATAGTCTAAATTTCTCTAGAGATATTAAAGCATGTATAAACAGGGTCTGACCTAATCTAACTTTAACTAATTATTTGTTTTCCTTTAACATATTAAGTACTAACACATTATAATAAAAATATTTATCTTTTTAAAAAATATAACAAACTTATTATTCAACCATTTATAACACCTATATGTGAAAACAACTGTAAAAATTTAAAATAACATTTAAATTCTAAAAAAAAACTGTAACTAATGATGCGGTTGAATTCATACAAATGTTTTTTTTTTTCGAACTATAAAATTTCAAATTTAAATATCCCTTTAATTGTTATGAAAATATGTTATAATTTTTTTTTATTTCAATTTCCCAAGAATCCATAACATTAAACAAATATCACTTTTATTAGTTTTCTATTTTTTTGAAATTTAATATAATTAAATTAAAAAAAATGAGTTTTTCTAGCGTAAAAACGAAAAAATTAGAATTTTTAATTAAATTTATAAACAATTTTTGTAACAAATAAATAATGAAATTTAATGAATAGTAATAATTCTAATATTACAAACAATGTTTTAACACGTTGTGATTTTTTTTATTAAATTAAGAAAAAAAAAATAATAATAATAAAAAATTTATTTAATTTATGATTAGTGCAATTATTTGGAGCAAATTTCTGGGCACGTGTTGTTCACTAACAATGTGTAATATAGTTGAAATTAGTTTTTTTTTACAAATTCGTTACACATCTACATTGAAACAATTTATAAATATTTTAGCAAATTTACGTTGAGTTTATAGACGAGTTAATAAATATGGTTTTCGACGAGTTAGTCTATAGTAGAGGTTATAGACGAGTTTATAGACGAATTTATAGAAGAGTTTATAGTCGACTTTATAGACAAGTTTATAATAGTCCACTTTATAGACGAGATTTTAGACGAGTTTATAGTCAAGGTTATAGACGAGACTACAGTCGAGCTTATAGACGAGACTAAGGTCGAGTTTATAGACGAGACAGTCGAGCTTATAGACGAGACTATGGTCGAGTTTATAGACGATTTTATAAGTAATATTTCGACGAGTTAGTCCAAAGTTGAGGTTATAGACGAATTTATAGAAGAGTTTGTAATCCACTTTATAGACGAGATTATTATCGAGTTTATAGACGAATTTATAGTCGAGGTTATAAACGAGATTACAGTCGACTTTATAGACGGGATTATAGTCGAGTTTATAGACGAGACTACAGTCGAGTTTATAGACGAGACTAGAGTCGAGTTTATAGACGAGACTACTATCGATGTTATAGTCGAATTTATAGAGAAGAATATAGACAAGTATATAGATATGGAGACCACACTATAGTCGAGTTTATTGACGAGTTCTTAGTCGATTTTATAGACGAGTTTATAAAGGAGACTATAGACAAGTTTATAGATACAAAGACGAGACTATAGTCAAATTTATTGACAAGTTTTTAGTCGAGTTTATAGTGGAGTTTATAGACGAGTTTATAGTTGAGTTTATAGATATATAGACGATACTATAGTCTAGTTTATAGACTAGTCTATGGTTGAGATAATGGTTCAGACTACAATCGATGTTGTAGTAGAATTTATAGAGAAGACTATAGACAAGTTTATAAATATGGAGACAAAACTATAGTCGAGTTTATTGACAAATTCTTAGTCGATTTAATAGACGAGTTTATAAAGGAGACGATAGACAAGTTTATAATAGTTATAAAGACGAGACTATAGTCGAGTTTATTGACAAGTTCTTAGTCGAGTTTATAGATGAGGGTATAGACTAGTTTACAGTTGAGTTTATAGATGAGTTTATAGATATAGAGTCGATACTATAGTCGGGTTTACAGACTACTCTATGGTTGAGATAATGGTTCAGACTATAATCCATGTTATAGTCGATTTTATAGAGAAGACTATAAACAAGTTTATAGATATAGAGACCACACTATAGTCGAGTTTATTGAGTTCCTAGTCGATTTTATAGACGAGTTTATAAAGGATACTATAGACAAGTTTATAGTTATAAAGAAAAGACTTTAGTCGAGTTTATTGACAAGTTCTTAGTCGAGTTTATAGACGAGTTTATAGTTGAGTTTATAGATATATAGACAATACTATAGTCGAGTTTATAGACTAGTCTATGATTGAGATAATAGTAGAGAATACCGTCGATGTTTATAAAGGAAGCTATAGACAAGTTTATAGATATAAAGACGAGACTAAAGTCGAGTTTAGTGACGAGTACTTGTAGACGAGTTTATAGTCGTATTTATAAAGAAGACTATAGAAATGTTTTTAATATAAAGAGGGTATAGTAGAGTTTTTAGTCGAATTTATAGACTATGGTTGAGTTTACTAGACTTTAATAGAGTTTACACTAGTTTTGACGAGTTTATGGATGAGACATTAGTCGAACTTATAGAAGAGACTTTAGTCTAGTTAATAGTCCATTGTGGTCCAGTTTATAGAGGAGACCATAATCCAATTTATAGACTGTCTATAGTTCAGTTTATCAATAAAATATAGTCGAGTTTATGGAACAGGCTGGTCGTGTTTATAGACGATACTGTATACGAATGATTCAATAATATTTTCCATATCTCATCTCCTAAAGTATTTCCTCTTTGAAACCCGTAAATTCCCAAATTATTCACTAAAACACTCTAATATCTCACCTTGGACTTGTGGAACTGATGGAAAATTTTTGTCAATTTTTATAATTTTTTTAATTGCTTAAAACACTTCTAATAAGTATTAAATAATATTTTTTAATTGTCGTAGGAGAACAAGCCAACGAACAAAAAAAAAAACGCAATTAATACAAATTAATAATCTTGATCGGATTACCTTATCTATAATAATCCACAACATAGAGCCACTTGAATAACTTTTTTTTCATTTTTGTTAAGTCATTAATAAAAATTTAAGTTGTTAACAAAGAAAAAGAAATGATAAAATGTTTTATATAATAAAATAGTAAAAAAAATAAATTTGCCAAGAGAAAAACAATTAAACGCAAACACTTCTTAAAAAAGATTATTATTTAATTCCGAATAATTGTAAGGATTGTTAACATAAAAACTAATATCTCTAAAAAGTTTAATATAATCTCTTAATTTTAATATGTATTTTGACAGATTTATTTGTGATAAACTGATTATTTTTATTAAAAATTCAAAAGTTATTTGAAAATTTTATTTAAAATGAAGTGCGGAAGGACGGACATATTTAAAGCGATAAGGAAAAAGATTTAAGATTTAATGTTAAACTGAGAAGCTTTTCACATTTCAATCACAATAAAATCGTGGTTAGTAACTGATCTATACTATATACTTTACACTGATGTATAGTTTGGACTATAGATTGATCTATAGTCTGGACTATAGACTGATCTATAGTCTGGACTATAAACTGATCTACAGTCTAAAGTCTGGACAATAGACTGATCTATAGCCTGGACTATAGAGTGATCTATAGTATGGACTATAGACTGATCTATAGTCTATCTATAGTCTATAGACTGATCTAAAGTCTGGACTATAGACTGATCTATAGTCTGGACTATAGACTGATCTATAGTCTAAGCTAAAGACTAACCTATATTCTGGACTATAGACTGATCTATAGTCAGGTCTATAGACCGATCTATAGTGTTGACTATAGACTGATCTATAGTCTTGACTATAGACTGACTATAGACTGATCTATAGTCTTGACTATAGACTGATCTACAGTCTTGACTATAGACTGATCTATAGTCTTGATTATAGACTGATCTATAGTCTTGACTATAGACTGATATATAGTCTGAACTATAAACAGATCTATAGTCTGGACTATAGGCAGATCTATAGTCTGGACTAGACTGATTTATAGTCTGGCCTATAGACTGATCTATAGTCTGGACTATAGACTATAGACTGAACTATAGTCTAGACTATAGACTGAACTATAGTCTAGACTATAGACTGAACTATAGTCTAGACTATAGACTGAACTATAGTCTAGACTATAGACTGAACTATAGTCTAGACTATAGACTGAACTATAGTCTAGACTATAGACTGATCTATAATCTGGATTATAGACTGATCTATAGTCTGGATTATAGACTGATCTATAGTCTGGATTATAGACTGATCTATAGTCTGGACGATAGACTGATCTATGGTCTGGACTATAGCCTGATCTATAGTTGAGATTATAAACTGATCTATGGAGTGGTCTGTTGCATGGACTAAGGACTGATCTACCGTTCCGACTGCAAAGCAATTGATTAAGTTTTTGACAAGTAATTTTAAACTTTAGAACCAGAACACTTTAACAGTTTTTGTTATTATTATGATTTCACTTTTAAACCAAAAACAAGAAATATTAAAATTTTTTTTTTAATTATAAATTTTCCTTAACATTTGAAAATTACACTTGAACCGACATATTACAAACTAAAAATCAAGAGACCTTGATAAATTAACTTAAAATTTGTCCGGTATTTATAAATTTTATAAATTTTTCACTAATACAATTAAATGTTAATGGTGGCGTATGTACAATATTTATTTAGCACAAAGGATTTAAAATCACTTATACGCCGCCGCATTAATTTGAACTATTTTCGTGTTTTGATATTTTTGATTAAACTTTACCTTTTATTTAATAAAAAAGATCACTTTGTTTATTTCAAAAAATTTCTTTTGAAAGCACAATTTATATAATTTTTTTTCTTAAATTTTCTTAACTCTTGTTTTGTTAGAAAAATTTAAATTTTCAGCTTTTTCTTTAAAATTTTTCGCAACTTTTAATTAATTTTCTTTAACCACCTCAGTTATTATTACTTTTCTTTAGGTAACAGAAACCACGATTTATATTTTTTATACTTTGTTTTTTTTTTTTCAAACCAACCGCGCACGTTAAACGTCTAACAGCGAATGAAGTTAACAGCGTAAAATTCATTAAAGTTATAAACTGTTTGGCCAAAATCCAACCAAAAACAATACTAATAACTAACTAAAACTCGTACTTAACTCATGAGCAGTCAACAGCAGCAATAGCAGCATTTGGCCAAAATCAAATATTATGTGTGTAAAATACACAAAAACAATAAAAAATTATATACTCTCAAACCCGCTATAATTTGCTATCAGTGATAAAAGATTTGTAGTTATTTTTTCTTTCATTCAGTTAGTAAAAAAGATGACTTGATAAAACACAAGAGCAAAACAGAAAATGATATGTACGTGTGCTCTTAGTTTGTCTAAGCTTAATGACAAAGAAACAAAGTTGCAAAATTTCAATTAAAGAGAGCTAGTTAAACAACTTAAGAGAATAACTGTAACTCTTAATAATGGTGATGAGAATGGGAAGTACTTTTTTAGTAGTTTTACGTACTTTTTGCTGATCTATAGTCTCGACTAGAGACAGGTCTATAGTCTGGATAATAGACTGAACTATAGTCTGCACTACAGATTGATCTATAGTCTGCACTATCGTATAAATTGCACTATAGTGTGGACTGCAGTTAGGACTATAGACTGACTTTAGAATAGACTTTAACTCATTTATAGTCTCGAAGTTTGACTGAACTATAGGCTGCACTATAGATCGATATATTGATATTATTGGACTAAAAACTGATCTATAGAAAATACTATAGACTGACCATTAATCTCACATATAGTCTGACTATAGTCTGGACTATAAGTGGACTAATCTATAGTTTGAACTATAGACTGATATGAGATCAAGACTATAGACTGATCTATAGTCTGGACTTTAGACTGATATATAGCTAAAACTATGGATTGATCTATAGTCTGGAATATAGACTTATCTATAGTCAAGACTATAGACTGATCTACAGTCTGTACTATAGACTGCTCTATAGCCAGGGCTATATACTGTTCTCTAGTCTAGACTATGGACTGATCTATAGTCTGGACTATAGACTGATCTATAGCTAAAACTATAGATTGATCTATAGTCTGGAATATAGGCTTATCTATAGTAAAGACTATAGACTGATCTACAGTCTGGACTATAGACTGTTCTATAGCCAGGGCTATAGACTGTTATCTAGTCTAGACTATGGACTGATCTATAGTCTGGACTGTAGACTGATCTATAGTCTGGACTATAGACTGATCTATAGTCTGGACTGTAGACTGATCTATAGTCTGGACTATAGACTGATCTATAGTCTGGACTATAGACTAATCTATAGTCTGGACAATAGACGGATCTATAGCCTGGACTGTAGACTGATCTATAGTCTGGACTGTAAACTAATCTATAGTCTAAACTACAAAGTGATCTATAGTCTGAAGAATAGAGTGATCTATAGTCTGAACTATGGGCTGATCTATAGTCTGGACTGTACTCTGATCTATAGTCTGTACTAAAGACGTTTCTATAGTCTGGACTATGGGTTGATCTATAGTCTGGACTGTAGACTGATCTATAGTCCGGACTGTACTCTGATCTATAGTCTGTACTAAAGACTATTCTATAGTCTGGACTATAGACTGATCTATAGTCTGGACTGATCTGTAGTCTAAACTATAGACTGATCTGTAGTCTAAACTATAGACTGATCTATAGTCTGGACTATAGACTGATAGTCTGGACTATAGACTGATCTATAGTCTGGACTATAGACTGATCTATAGTCTGGACTATAGACTGATCTATAGTCTGGACTATAGACTGATCTATAGTCTGGACTATAGACTGATCTATAGTCTGGACTATAGACTGATCTATAGTCTGGACTATATATAGTTTGGACTATAGACTGATCTATAGTCTGGAGTATAGACTGATCTATAGTCTGGACTATAGACTGAGCTATAGTCTGGACTGTAAACTAATCTATAGTCTAAACTACAGAGTGATCTATAGTCTGAAGAATAGAGTGATCTATAGTCTGAACTATGGGCTGATCTATAGTCTGGACTGTACTCTGATCTATAGTCTGTACTAAAGACGGTTCTATAGTCTGGACTATGGGTTGATCTATAGTCTGGACTGTAGACTGATCTATAGTCCGGACTATAGACTGATCTATAATATGGACTATGGGTTGATCGTTAGTCTAGACTATAGACTGATCTATAGTCCGGCCTATAGACCATTCTATGGTCTGGACTATGGGTTGATCTATAGTCTATAATGTAGACTGATCTATAGTCTGGACTATAGACTGATCTATAGTCTGGACTATAGACTAATCTATAGTCTGGCCTATAGACTGATCTATAGTCTGGACTATAGACTGATCTATAGTCTAAACTATAGACTGATCTATAGTCTCGACTAGAGACTAATCTATAGTCTCGACTAGAGACTAATCTATAGTCTGGAGTATAGAGTGATCTATAGTTTGGACTATAGACTGATCTATAATCTGAACTATATTTAGTCAGGCCTGCAGGCTGATCTATTGTCAGGACAACAAACTGATCTATAATCAGGACTACAAACTGATCTGCAGTAAGGCCTATAAAGTACGCTATAGTCTCAACCACAGACTGTTCTATAGTCTCAAGAATATAGAGTATTATATAGTCTTTCCACGCTTGACTATTTTGGCTCTAGACAATTTTTTAATCACAAATATATAGTCTCAACCAAACTGTTTTCGAAATTGCGTTGTACTATTTTGACATTTTTGATTAGTTGACATATAGAACGATTTCCTAAATTTTAAATATATTCCGATAATAATTTGATAAAGTAGGGCGACTTTTTTCAAAATAAGTGTTATTGTTTTCAAAAAATGTGCACTTTTATATAGGAAAAAATAATATTGCATTGGAATTTTGGTAACAAAAAAAACAAAACAATATTGACATTTTGAATTGGATCGTGTTGAATTGGACGCGTGTCAAAATTTGAAAATGTGATAATTAAATTGTTTTTATTATAACATAAACAAATCATAATATTCCATCAAAAATTTTCTTATCTTAATATGTATAAGTAATTGAAAAAGAGAAGATTAGAGAAATATTTCTATGGTTACATTAAAATAATAAATTAAAGTAAAATTAAACAAATCTTGATAAATTTATAGTTTAAACAATTATCTAATATCAGATTTTTATTATTTTCCTCAATAACAATAAGCAATTTTTAAGTTTTATTAGTTTAACGATAACATTATATATGTATTTATAGGCCCTAAAAGGTCGGGTTCACTTTATTCTATTGATTTTGTTTCAACTTAACGTAAAATGTATAAAATTTAAATTCAAAAATTGTTTTCTTTATAAAAATCACTTGTTTTTTGTTTTAGCCAATTAATGACTTAATGCTAATTTTAAGACTAAAAACTCATCTTTTTTGCTGTAAATTCTCTAAAACTCAGCTTTATTTAATTAATTTTTTATTTTCAGAAAACCCCCTTTGAAAAGGTACTGAAAAAAATACAACAAATTGTTGCGGTTGTACAAAATTTTAAAAAAAATTTTTGGTATAAAAAAGAGATCAAAGCTCCACTACAGTCACATGTCGTTTTGAATTTGATAAAAATTTAAATATTTTTTTTTTATAAAATGCAAGTGTTTTGCTTTTTATTAATTAATCAGTAATATCTTAAATAAAAACCTGAAGTATCCCAAAAATTAGCAAACTTTTTTTTTACAACAATTAACTAATAAATTAAATTTATTAAAAGACAACAGGGACCTTCAAAAGAGAAAGTGTTATTTGTTGTTCTGTTTTTAAAAATTTTGATATTTAAAATTTCTTTAATTGAAAACAGAGTATGTAATTATTCAAATATAAAATAAAAATTATTAAATTAAGCTAAAGAAGCTGAACAAACACAAAAGCCAAATGATGTTCGTAAATGTTTTAAAATATTTCCAAAACAAATTCATTAATAGTAAACATTCTGCTGATGAAGTAATCAAACGAAAGGGCGAACTAACTCTATAGTATTGACTATAGATCAGCCCATAGTATTGACAATAGATCAGTCTATAGTCTTAACGATAGATCAGTATAAATTCATGACTATCGATTAGTCTATAGTCTTGACTATAGATCAGTCTATAGTCTTGACTATAGATCAGTCTATAGTCTTGACTATAGATCAGTCTATAGTCTTGACTATAGATCAATTTATACTCTTGACTATAGATCAGTCTGTACTCCATACTATAGATCAATCTATACTGTTGACTACAGATAAGTTTATAGTCTTAACTATAGATCAGTCTATAGTCTTGACTGAACTATACATCAATCTACAGTCTTGACTATAGATAAGTCTATAGTCTTGACTATAGATCAGTCTATACTCTTGACTATAGATCAGTCTATAGTCTTGACTATAGACCAGTCTATAGTCTTAACTATAGATCAGTCTATACTCTTGACTATAGATCAGTCTATAGTCTTGACTATAGATCAGTTTATAGTATTGACGATAGACCAGTCTATACTCTAGACTATAGATCAGTCTATACTCTTGACTATAGATCTGTCTCTACTCTTGACTGTAGATCAGTTTATAGTCTTGACTATAAATCAGTCTATAGTCTTGTCTATAGATCAGTCAATTGTCTTGACTATAGATCAGTCTATACTCTTGACTATAGATCATTCTATACTCTTAACTATAGATCAGTCTATAGTCTTAACTATAGATCACTATATAGTCTTAACAATAGATCAGTCTATAGTCTTGACTATAGATCAGTCTATACTCTTGACTATAGATCAGACAATACTCTTGACTATAGATTATGACTATAAATCAGTCTATAGTCTTAACAATAGATTAGTCTATAGTATTAACTATAGATTAGTATATAGTCTTAATTGATTAGCCAATACTCTTGACTATAGATTAGCCTATATTCTCGACAATAGTTCAGTGTATAGTGTTGACTATATATCAGTCTATAGTCTTGACTATTGATCAGTCTATAGTCTTGACTATAGGTCAGTCTATAGTCTTGACTATAGATCAGTCTATAGTCTTGACTATAGGTCAGTCTATAGTCTTCACTATAGGTCAGTCTATAGTCTTGACTGTAGGTCAGTCTATAGTCTTGACTATAGGTCAGTCTATAGTCTTGACTATAGATCATTCAATAGTCTTGACTATAGATCAGTTTATAGTATTGACTATAGATCAGTCTATACTCTTGACTATAGATCAATCTATACTCTTGACTATAGATCAGTCTATAGTCTTGACTATAGATCAGTCTCTACTCTTGACTGTAGATCAGTCTATAGTCTTAACAATAGATCAGTCTATACTTTTGACTATAGATCAGTCTATGCTCTTGAATATAGATCAATCTATAGTCTTAACTATAGATCAGTCTATAGTCTTAACAATAGAACAGTCTATAGTCTTGACTATAGATCAGTCTATACTCTTGACTATATATCAGTCTTGACTATAGATCAGTCTTTAGTCTTAACTATAGATCAGTCTTTAGTCTTAACTATAGATCAGTCTATAGTCTTGACTATAGATCAGTTTATAGTCTTGACTATAGATCAGTCTATATTTTTAACTATATATCTGTCTATAATCTTGACTTTAGATCAGTCTATACTCTTGACTATAGATTAGTCTATAGTCTTAACTATAGATCACTCTGTAGCCTTAATTTCTAGAATATTCCAAAGTATCTACTAAATAATAAAATAAGTGTTGAATCATTTTTTTTCTAACATTTCTTAGGTCTACCAATATCTTTCAAATATCTACTTTAAAAATTGTACAGTAATTTATTTGTTTTATTTAAACCACTAATAAACATTATTATTTAAACATTCTTGGGCTCCGTTATAAATTCTTTTATTGATATTATTTTACGAGTTTTACGATTACAAATCTGTGTTTGTTTATTTGTTCACTAGTTTAAAAAAAGTTGTTATTTCTTTTAGTGGCAGATAAACTAGAGATAAAAAGTAAATACATAATAGCCAAGTATTTAAACATTCTAACTGCTAATTTTTGCTAATTTAGCATTTACTATGCTTTCCAAATTAGACATTGTAAAGATAAAATTAATTAACACTGTGTTGTTTAGAAAATACTATTAGAAATTACAGTGGGTAAGAAAAATGTTTTAGTTCAGCGCTAGTTCAGTTTTAGTTTAGTTATAGTTCAGTTCTAGTTCAGTTTTAGTTTAGTTCTAGTTCAGTTCTAGTCCAGTTCTAGTTCAGTTCTAGTTCAGTTCTAGTTCAGTTCTAGTTCAGTTCTAGTTCAGTTCTAGTTCAGTTCTAGTTCAGTTCTAGTTCAGTTCTAGTTCAGTTCTAGTTCAGTTCTAGTTCAGTTCTTGTTCAGTTCTAGTTCAGTTCAAGTTCAGTTCTAGTTCAGTTATAGTTCAGTTCTAGTTCAGTTCTAGTTCAGTTCTAGTTCAGTTCTAGTTCAGTTCTAGTTCAGTTCTAGTTCAGTTCTAGTTCAGTTCTAGTTCAGTTCTAGTTCAGTTCTAGTTCAGTTCTAGTTCAGTTCTAGTTCAGTCCTAGTTCAGTTCTAGTTCAGTTCTAGTTCAGTTCTAGTTCAGTTCTAGTTCAGTTCTAGTTCTAGTTCAGTTCTAGTTCAGTTCTAGTTCAGTTTAGTTCAGTTCTAGTTCAGTTCTAGTTCTAGTTCAGTTCTAGTTCAGTTCTAGTTCAGTTCTAGTTCAGTTCTAGTTCAGTTCTAGTTCAGTTCTAGTTCAGTTCTAGTTCAGATCTAGTTCAGATCTAGTTCAGTTCTAGTTCAGTACTAGTTCAGTTCTAGTTCAGTTCTAGTTCAGTTCTAGTTCAGTTCTAGTTCAGTTCTAGTTCAGTTCTAGTTCAGTTCTAGTTCAGTTCTAGTTCAGTTCTAGTTCAGTTCTAGTTCAGTTCTAGTTCAGTTCTAGTTCAGTTCTAGTTCAGTTCTAGTTCAGTTCTAGTTCAGTTCTAGTTCAGTTCTAGTTCAGTTCTAGTTCAGTTCTAGTTCAGTTCTAGTTCAGCTCTAGTTCAGTTCTAGTTCAGTTCTAGTTCAGTTCTAGTTCAGTTCTAGTTCAGTTCTAGTTCAGTTCTAGTTCAGTTCTAATTCAGTTCTAGTTTAGTTATGCTTCAATTATACTTCAGTTCTGGATAAGTTCTATATCACTTTTAGTTCAGTTCTAGTTCATTTCCAAAAACATTTGTAATTTACCTTGTATTCCAATTTGTGTGTTTTTTGATTTCTTGAACAATAATTTGTGGATTTTCTGATTTCTTGAATAATAACTTAATTTCGGACATTTTCTTTTTATTGAAAAGATCTTCTTTTGGAATCTTGAATTAAAAACCTTCAGAGTTTTGATTGATAAGTCTTGCATATTAAAAAATATCTATAATGGGAGAGTATAAAGACATTATTTAAAAAATCTTATGAATATTTAAATATTCTGTTAAATATTTTTTTCTACAAAATAATGAGATTAAAGAAAATTAAATCTTACATTTCGAAACTTTATAAAATCTGCTTCAAAACTAATTCTGCCAAATCTTTCCAATTGATTTCTCTTTCAAAATTTCTTACTTTTTTAAACAAATCCAGCCAAAGCTTTAAGACACCTTTAAAAAAATTAAAGAAAAAACACTTTTACATTTTTAAAATCACAAGATTTAAATTAAAATCTTAAAAGCATTTAACTATTTATTTAACTACTAAAGGGTATTTTTATAAAATGTATTCAACGCTTTCCATGTCTACATCTCTGTAGTCCATAGGAAAATCATTGATTTAAAAAAAAAAAACGAAACAAAATGGTAATGAAATGTTAAAGCTTTTTAAGCGAAACACTACTACTTAATACATTTTAAAACATTATTAACATGGATAATGAGAAACTCAAAATAAATAAAATTCGAAAATTTTCTTCAGCAAAAAAAAAAGAACGCCTTCTCTTCAGAATTTCAAATATAGCATACGATGTGCCAAAGCTTTGCCAACCAGTTGGCTGTACTCAATAATTGATTCGCGTTCTTCATTGCCAGCAATCTGAAAGAAAGTTGAAAGATATTTGTGTGGAAATAATTTAATATTTTTAATAAAGATTTAAAATATATAGATGGTCTACAGATCAGACTATAGAGGAGACTCTAGAACAGTCTTAGCCTAAACTATAGATTAGTCTCTCTAGAATATACATATGTATGTTACTCTAGGTACTAAACTATAGTCTAAAGATCACTCTATATTCCAGTTTATACATCAGTCTATAGATCAGTTGTCAGTCTATAGTCTATATTATAGATCAGTCTATAGTCTAGACTATAGATCAGTCTATAGTTTAGCCTATAGCCTAGCCTATAGATCAGTCTATAGTCTATCCTATAGATCAGTCTATAGTTTATCCTACAGATCAGTCTATAGTCTATCCTATAGATCAGTCTATAGTCTATCCTATAGATCAGTCTATAGTCTAGCCTATAGATCAGTCTATAGTCTATCCTATAGATCAGTCTATAGTCTATCCTATAGATCAGTCTATAGTCTAGCCTACAGATCAATATATAGTCTAGCCTATAGATCAGTCTATAGCCTAGCCTATAGATCAGTCTATAGTCTAGCCTATATATGAGTCTTTAGTCTAGCCTATAGATCGGTCTATAGACTAGCCTATAGATCAGTCTATAGACTAGCCTATAGATCAGCCTATAGTCTAGCCTATAGATCAGTCTATAGTCTAGCCTATATATCAGTCTATATCTAGCCTATAGATCAGTCTTTAGTCTAGCCTATAGATCAGTCTATAGACTAGCCTATAGATCAGTCTATACACTAGCCTATAGATCAGTTTATAGTCTAGACTATAGATCATCTATTCTAGACAATAGATCAGCCTTTAGTCTAGGCTATAGATCAGTCTATAGTCTAGCCTATAGATCAGTCTTTAGCCTAGCCTATAGATCAGAGTATAGACTAGCCTATAGATCAGTTTATAGTCTAGACTATAGATCATCTATTCTAGACAATAGGTCAGTCTTTAGTCTAGGCTATAGATCAGTCTATAGTCTAGACTATCAGTCTATACTCTAGCCTATATATCAGTCTATAGTCTAGCCTATATATCAGTCTATAGGTCTAGCCTATAGATCAGTCTATGGTCTAGCCTAGAGATCAGCCTATAGATCAGTCTATAGTCTAGCCTATATATCAGTCTACAGTCTAGCCTATAGATCAGTCTATAGTCTAGTACAGACCAGTTTATAGGCTAGATTATGAATCAGTTTGTAGGCGGACTATATATAGATCTGTCTACAGTTTAGGATCAGACTATAGCCTATACTGTGGATCAGTTTATAGGCTATAGGTCATCTATAGACTAGCCTATAGATCAGACTATAGTCTATCCTATAGATCAGCCTTAAGTCTATCCTATAGATCGTCTATAGTCTAGACTATAGTCAAGATTGTAGTCTAGACTGTAGATCAGTCTGTGGTATAGGCTGCAGTTCAGTCTAAAGTTTAGACTGTAGATCAGTCTGAATTATTATTGATTTAAAAATATCCTTTACCTGTTTATATTGACGATATTTAACGTATGTCTTGGCATTTATTAACAATAATACTGAATCTATGTCACTAATCTTAAACTCATTGGCATCCTTGGCCTGTAGATCATTGTTAAAACGTTGATATTTATTTGCATCCAATTTAGAGCGTATTTCTAAAATAAAAATCAAATTTTAACAAATTTCTATAATATCTAAGAAATATATTAACAAATCTTACCATCAGTTAACAAATGCCAAGTATAGGTTTCGGGACACAATAAATATGAAGATGATAATCTACCCTTGTAGCGCATTTTGGGACAGGAATGTATATAGAAACCCATATAATAATACTTAAGAGAGGGTACAATACTGGCAAGTCTTTGAACTAATTCAATTTCTCTATTAATAAGAATAAAATATAAAATTTGAAAATTATATATTTGGATTGTATTAAGCCCACCTTAAAGAGCTGTAAGTACCCAGTGATAGGAAATTATAATCTGGATCATAAAAGAAATAAACAGAACTAACACAATAGGGTAATATATCGATGACAGCAACAGCAATTAGTTTATCATCTAGCCAGTACTGTTGATGAAATGAACCATATCCCGAGGGAGGACCATCAGCAGGTTTAGAGAGCTATAAGTGAAGGGAGAAAAATTCGGTATTAGAGTGACAGTTATTTGGAAATTAAAAAATATTTTTAGAAATGGAAAATAGTCATGAACGAATTCTATAATTCATGTTAAAATACAATATTTCTGAAAAAAAAAAATCATGTTCGAATTTAAAATTTCTATAGAAAGTCCAGATTCGAATACAATTTTCATGTCTAAATATAGTTTTTCTATAGAAAATCTTTTCGATTGCAATTTTTCAATAGAAAATCATGTTCAAATTCAAGTATTCTTTAGAAATCATGTTCGAATGCCATTTTGCTTTAGAAAATCATGTTCGAATTTCAGTTTTCCATAGAAACATGATGTTCGAATTCAAATTTTCTATAGAAAATCATGTTCGAATAGATTTATCTTTGGAAAATCATGTTCGAATGCAATTTTGCTTTAGAAAATCATGTTCGAATTTCAGTTTTCCATAGAAACATGATGTTCGAATTAAAACTTTCTATAGAAAATCATGTTCGAATTCAAATTTTATATAGAAAATCATGTTCGAATAGAATTTATCTTTGGAAAATCATGTTCGAATGCAATTTTGCTTCAGAAAATCATGATCGAATTTCAGTTTTCCATAGAAAATCTTGTTCGAATACAAATTTTCTATAAAATATCATCTTCGAATACAATTTATCTTAAGAAAACCATGTTCGAATGCAATTTTAGTTTAGAAAATCATGTTCGAATTTAAGTTTTCTACATAGAATCATGTTCGAATTCAAATTTTCTATGTTCGAATACAATTTATCTTTGGAAAATCATGTTCAAATGCAATTTTGGGTTAGAAAATCATGTTCGAATTTCATTTTTTCTCAGAAAATCATGTTCGAATTATATTTTTCTACATAAACTCATATTCGAATACAATTTTTCTTTAGAAAATCATGTTAGAATATAATTTTTCCATAGAAAATCATGTTCGAATACAATGTTGCTATAGAAAATCATGTTCGAATTAAAATTTTCTATAGAAAATTATGTTCGAATACAATTTATCTTTAGAAAATCATGTTCGAATGCATTTTTTCTATAGAAAATCATGTTCGAATTTTAGTTTTCCATAGCAAATCATTATCGAATTAAAATGTTTTATAGAAAATCATGTTCGAATACAATTTATCTTTAGAAAATCATGTTCGAATTTCAGTTTGCCACAGAAAATCATGTTCGAATTATATTTTTCTACATTAACTCATATTCGAATAAAATTTTTCTTTAGAAAATCATGTTCGAATACAATTTTGCTTTAGAAATTATGTTCGAATACAATTTTGCTATAGAAAATCATGTTCGAATTCAAATTTTCTATAGAAAATTATGTTCGAATACAATTTATATTTAGAAAATCATGTTCGAATGCATTTTTTCTATAGAAAATCATGTTCGAATTTTAATTTTCCACAGAAAGTCATTTTCGAATTAAAATGTTTATAGAAAATCATGTTCGAATACAATTTATCTTTAGAAAATCATGTTCGAATACAATTTTTCCATGTTCGAATTTTATTTTTCCACAGGAAATCATGTTCGAATTATATTTTTCTACAGAAACTTATCTTCAAATAAAATTTTTCTTTAGAAAATCATGTTCGAATTTTAGTTTTCCATAGAGAATCATTTTCGAATTCAATTTTTCTATAGAAAATCATTTTCGAATAAAATTTTCCTTTAGAAAAATCATGTTCGAATGCAATTTTTCTATAGAAAATCATGTTCGAATTCAATTTATCTTTAGAAAATCATGTTCGAAATTAAATTTTCTATAGAAAATTATGTTCGAATATAATTTTTCTTTAGAAAATCAAGATCGAACTTAATATTTCTATAAAAAGTCATGATCAAAAACAGTTTTTCTATAGAAAATAATGTTCAGTAAGAATTTTTTACAGAAACTCATGTTCGAAAGCAATTTTTCCATAGAAAATCATGTTCGAAAAAAAATTTTTCTTAAGAAAATCAATTTTCAATAAAAGTTTTCTTTAGCAGATTCTTTTTCCTAAATATTCCCAAATTAAAATTCATTTGAAAATTATTCAATTTCATTTCATTCCACCTGCAATGGTGAACGTTGTAAAAACACTAAATAATCATCTTCACCGCCTGGTGGATCATTATGTATAAGTGTTTGATATTTCTTATAGAGTTCATAAGTTTGCGGCAAAGTTTTATGAAATTGTTCACTCTTAACATGTATGACTTCCAGCTGAAACGAAATTGAGGAGAAAAAAAAAATGGTAAATATTAAAATTAAATAAAAAATTTACCTTAAGAGGGGAATTGTAAAGGAAACGTAGCAAATTTTTAGGTTGTAGACGTTCGGGATTATCATTGTGTATAATTAATTGATATTTACGATATAAAGCTAATGCCGTTTCAGAGTAAATGTCTTTATTCGAAGGTACTAAGACAATCTGTAAAAAGTGGGAAAAAACCAACAATAGTTTTTTTTTTGCTTTTGGAAAAAGTGTGCTTTAACTAACTACTTTTTTTTATAGTATAAAAGAGTATGAGTGTACGTCTAAAACAACCAATAATTTGCAGGTTTAAATGTGATCAAATTGCTTGAAAAAACTTACCTTAAGTTTATGTTTATCATCGGGTCTGGCATCATTAATTAAATCATTTAGAGTTTTCTCTTGATCACGTGGTGTTTTGGGTGGCAAATCTGTGGGTAAACCTTTAGCAGCCTGCTTAGCCATTTTACGTTCCAAACGCATTTGTTTGGCTTTCTTGCAAGGAGGATTAACACCTTCTAAAGCTGTTTAGTTATTAAAAAGTTAAAATTAAGAACATTTTTTTTAATAAATTTAAAAATATTTACATTTCTTGCTGCCACTTGAGGATTCTTCATTAGTTTGTTTTTTATCTTCAATATCTTTAGCCGGAGTTTTTTCCTTTTCTTTATAATTATCCTTAACAGTGTTTGGTTCTCCATTTGCTTTAGCAAATAACTCTAGATTTATATCTTTTAGGGGGACATTAGGTCCCTGCACTTCTTCTCTAATACCACCACCACCTCCAGCATCATCTCCCACATCTTCATTGTCATTATCTTTAGTCTCTTTATCTGCATTATTTGTACCCTGACCTTCTTCATTTTTATCACGTTTGCCATCACGTAGAAAACGATTCATACGTTTAAGTACTTTTTTATGGGATTTAGATAATTTGAATTCCAAAGCATCGCATCTGTAAAAGAAAACAAATATTTAACTTTTGCCTTTTAAATTGTTTAATTCTTAACTCACTTGATGGTATAACAAGGACAACATGTTGTTGTATTATCTTGTTTGTAGCAATAATGGCCACTGCGTCGCCAACCACGATCAATAAGATCCTGATAGTCTGCTGGTGACATAGTATAGGCATGCATTCCTATAAGTTAACATTATTAATTGAATCATTTTAATAAATCACCTGATATATATCAAATATTAGTCATTGTAATATGTTCGTAGTAGCACGTAATTAATAATTATACTTTGTATCAATTACAAATACATTTATTATGATAAGGTGATAAGGTTTCTATAGTAAAACTTTAACAATTTGTATGTAATTTTTACAAAAACCTTTTAATTCTTAGAAGTAAAAGTGTTGTTGATTTAGAAAAGTCAAGTTTTTATAACAATTTTAGAATTAATACTTTTAAATCTTTAAATGTTTGAAAATAGTTCAATGTCAAGGTTATAGATAACCCCGTTAACATGTCTATAACAAAGAAAACAATAAAACGCATATAAATAATGTTTAGAATAGACAATTTGTTTGAGTGAAATAAACTTTACGCTCCAACAACTAATATATCTACACACTGAAAAAATATAAGAAGCCTTTAATATGAGAGAATTGTTTAATGCAATAAACTGATAAACTAATTGTAAACAATATTTTTTACCTATAATTTCACAAGATTTTGTTAAGTTACTGATAGCTCCCCCTAAATGTTATTATTTTCAAGAGATTGTTTACCTATGTGCATAATGTTTTATTTCAAACATATTGGAATAACTAAATTCTATTTGACATTTATTTTTCTATAACTAAACTATATATTTTTGGCTTAGCAACTTCATTAATATACAAAACATTTAAACTACTTCTTGTGTCATGCTGTATCAACTGATTCATAATGATGATTAGCAAGAATTTTCCTGTTCTTTATAAATCAATTGTGTTTTATTGTTTTAGAGACGCATTTTTTAAATCTACATAAATTATTTAGTTATTATTAGACTATGGAGTTTGAATACCGTATTATTGATTTCATATCGAAAACAGATTCAGTTTTAAGGGAAAATTTGCCAAAACATGAAAACTTCTTAAACATTTTGTAAATGTTTAATGATTACAATGGTTAGGTTAAGAAGGGTTATACACCGTAGAAACGATATATGTCCACTCGGAGACCATAAGATCTATTGTGATTTCCTTCAATAAAGTGAAGATTCAGAAAACAGAGAATGCAAAACGCTACCACCTAGTAGACTGCGAGGGTTAAGTCCCGCAATTTCCCCCAGTTCGCCATGGAACCTATTCCCTAGCCATTTCAGCCTAAGATTCTGTACCCTAGGACATTGGCAAATGATATGCTCGATCGTCTCTACTTTCTCCTCATCTTCGCATAACCGGCAATAGTCCGGTACACTACTGTCCCACTTACTGACAAAGGTTCTAACTGAGCGGTGTCCAGTTAGAATCCCTATCAGAGCCCTTA